TACAATTTTCCAATAATTAACCTAATCATCTTTGGCGGAGTATTTAAGCGTTTCCGTTGGGTTTTATAAATAGTCGAGAAGTAGGTAACTGTTTGGACGCCGCACCACATTTGTCAACATCTCGCTTTGATTTTGTTTCCAATAGACTACTGTTCCGTTAAGCGGATACTATGAAAATATCTTTAAAACAATCAAATTTGAAGATAGAGAGAAGTTTAAATTTTATGTGAAAATTGACACTTTTAAATAAATAGAACACTTCCAGGAACATAATATAAAGCTTGTGATTTAACTGTTTTGATATTTAAAGATAGTATGTTATAGAAAAGGTAATATAATAAAGGTAATAAAGAGCTTTTACAATAATGTATCCATGTCAAAAAGCACCCAAGACGTTATTCCTAATAAAATTAATATACAAATATGTATTTATAATTTATGATTGTTACATTTAGAATTATACATAAACAATCGCGACTTCAATGATCATATAAAACGAGTGGTATATCTAATTAATATTTTATTTGGTTTATAAAAACTGTATACTCAATTAAAAAAATCAGAATAATCACAAAACGTTTTAACAATAATTTATTATCGTCAAATACACCCAAAACGTTATACCAAATAAATTTTAGTATATATTTTAAAATTCATATTGATATATAGGACACACAAACCATGTAATACAATATTCAAAGTTATTGTAGTTATAACATATATCTTTAAATTGTACTCAAACAATACATGACGGCAAACGTATTTACAAATATTTGCACAATAACAAAAGTTTTAATTTGAAACTTACGTGTCTGTTATCTGTCTTATAAATTAGGAGTACATTCACAAACACGTGTTCTTAATAAATCCTGTCATTGCAATACTTTGCATTACAATAAATCGTTAATGTTAGTAATTTATTCCGACCTTAAGTTATCGTGCATTTATTTCGTGTGTTACCTTTGTTAAAATGATTTATCTTTCACATACGTCAAATCACGTTTTGCATTTACTAGTACAGTAATGATTAATGCAGATTATAAAGGTTTCGTTCTGGTTGACAATATTTAGAAACAACAGAAAGATATCATTTTACCTCTATTGATAATCCATGTTGCTGAAAACTGTCGTTTTAAATAGATACTAAAACTATAATTAAAAACTTAAAATAACCCTAATAAACCTTTATATTAACAATCAACGTTGTAAACCCATTTATATTGCTCAGAAAATAATAAAACCACAAAACTCGTACGAAATGACATACGTTATATTTAGCACGTTGCGCGGACGTCGCGCCGTGTACGCGCAACCAGTGCGCGCGCGCACGCCTGACTAAACTGAAATCACCAAAGCTCCAAAAGTTCAAGCAGGTGCTGAAACGCGGAGACAATTCAATAAAATTTTCATTTAAAATCCAGAACTACGATTAAAACAAATACCAATTTATTACTTCTAAACAAATTTATAGGATTATTAAGTTATATATGTTAAATAAATCTTTAATAAAAATACCACTTAACAGTTTTATCAAATCTCCTATTTGACATAAATCGTAAAACCATAACATTATTATCGTTAGGCCATTCCTGAAATTACCAAGTTGTTATGAATAATAATAAAAATATGTACAAGAAACACAAAAGCTCAAACATATCAGTCGCTACGATTTTTTATGATGTTTTTAAATACAGGTCCTCAGTCGGCACCCTCACACCACCTACGTGTCACGATATTTATCATAAAACCCCTTTGTTAAACCCCACGTCCGGGTCACTTGACCTGCCGACGTATTTAGATCTTTTGTATACGGGATAAAGAATCGTGACAACTCCGGGACCCGTCAAGTAGTTTAATAAAGTGTCCATTGTCATAAATATCAATTGGTAAAGATACAAATTCAATATACATTTAGGACGGAGTTATGAAAGTGTGGCTGTCTAGTACATTTTAAACAGGAGGGCTACCTTTATCTATAGCACTTCCCCTTCAGCTTGTATTAAACATTGTACTAATATATTTAGTTCAAGTCAAAACTTACATCGTACTGGTAATACTTACGCAATAAACTTAATTAAGAAAACTTAATGATTACACTTCGCGTGTATCGAGATTTCCAGCTTTTGGCAGTCTTTAATAACATTATTGCTTACACTCTTGAAACATCTATTTTAAGTAAGAATTAATTCATAGATATTAATATTTATTCCAGTATGAGTTTAATATTCAGAACTAAGATTGAACAACTGACACGTCAGTTATGAATAGTCCAACTTAGCTTTTAACTTTTATGTTTCCCTCTTTTGAAAAGAAATATGAGATAAAACTTTTTAGCGAAGAAAATGTCTAAATCTGAAATTTATTCAGTTCCAATATCAAAGAGATTTCATTAGCTCATAATAATTTATTAGAACGCATGGCCGTTTCTAAGCGCTCTGTGATTTAATTATATGTTTTTATTTAACCGTACAAACATTATGCCTTCTAATATACGTGTTACATGTATTATATAATTAAGTGGGAAGTCCTTTATATAGTATATATATTTCATTAAGGCAGCTTCTTAGTGTTTGATCTGATTTCCCGATATAACTACTCAGCGCAGGTGAGACGGAAAAGCTCTAATCTAATTTTGTTTCTCTTATTTCACCATAACGATTTATTTTCGTTCAACAGTTTAATGTAGCATCAAAACGTAGTTCTGTAAACATTTTTTCAAATATAAAATATCGTGTTGTTATTTGGTAATTGGCTTTCGCCAGGTACGGAAAATAAGCTGGCTTTTTAATCAACTTCAAAAAACGAAATAAGGAAGTTCAATTCAACTTTTAATTTTTGCATTGCTTCTCCGTCCAAGGACAGATATGAATGATCGAGGTGTCAATCGATTCGGATTTTCATTAGTCCCATAGAAAAGTTTTGTAATGAGATTGATACTTTTCAGGCTATTAACTAAAACGCCACATGAAAAATCTAAAACATTATATATAATAAAAACGTTTAATACATCGATATAGCTCCTTTATGGTTTTAGATTAAAAATATACAGGGATATACAGACATGCTTACTAAAAATCAATGAAACTACTACAACTGTAAACCTTCTTACATAGGATCTTGGCCTAGTGACCATTCGAAAGCAGGATTGTCTAACGAAATCGATGAATACATACTTGACTAATAGCCTATTAGGATTTTCGAACCCGTATAGTAAAAATATATAAATTATAGTTTAAATTGTTAAATTCTCTTTGTAATACAAGACCAATTAATAAGGAATATTGTTATATAAAACTTATTAGTGCATTTTGGAGTCAATCTATTTTTTTATATTATTAATTTAAAGTCCTAGAAAAAGCAATTTGAAGTCACAAATAGGAAATTAGATTTTTTATGTGTGTTGAATAAGCCCTACATAAATGCGCAGCACCAAAATGAATCTGGGTTTATTGCAATGTCTAATTATATTTGGTTTGATATAAGACTATTAATATTTGGATGATGTAATAAATTTGTACCGGCAGTGCTGTTTAATTGATTTATTTTTATTTAGTTACCTACCTTTTGATTCAAAATAATTATTAGACATTTTATATGACTAGTTAAATAAAATATCGTCTGTTTCACTTAGCACATCACGAAAGCCCTGCCCTAGCTTCGAATCTCGGTGAAAAAATAATTGTTAATAAAATATAAAATATTAATTAAATGTAATAAATATTGTCAATAAAAATCTCCACTTAAGTGAAAGGCTCAAAAGGGTTTTTTTTTTGTTTTGTTTTCTCACTATCGACTGTCAATTGATAAAATGATCGACAATTTTTCCAGAATTTTAAATATTATTATGAAAATTTTAATTCTCAGTCAACCTTAGATATGTCAACTGCAGCCTTCCTATTAGTGATCGGTATTCAAGAAATAGAAAAATCACTTTTGTATACTCAATAATGTATAACACACCTTTTGTATAAGTAGTTATTAGACGTGATTTATTCATTGAGAGTTGCGCGATTAACCACCGAGCTAACACTGTTAATATAGTCAGCTGGAATTGGCCTTGTCTTATGGCCAATTCTACGATAGCTCTGCGAAAAATACTATGCTAGTAGGCTAGACTTTGTTATACTAAACCACATAATGATTGGGCTTATCCTAAATTACGAGTAGGAAGTAGAATAATAATAGATGACTCACCAAGTGACTCAGGATACTAGAAATAGAATTCATTGAAATCCGAACTGAAACTGTACTTTCAGACATTATCAAAACTGACTCACAAATCCCACAGACTTCTTCGAAAACGCTAAAACTTTTTAAATATGTTTTGGCTAACCGGTATACTGCGATCGCGTTTGCGTCAATAAATAATAATTTTTAAAAAGGATCTTTGAAATAATACGGATTTTAATTTTAAAATTTGTAAATAATACATACAAGACAGACATAAACTTTTACAAATACGTTTCGAAAAAGGAAAAGCTTAATTAAGAAAAAAATCTTGACAATGTCTTCTATACTATATATAGTATATCTATAATTCCATACAAATATTATAAAGAGGTAAAGTTTTAGAGATCTCTGGCACTACTGAACAGATTTTGAAGATTATTTTACCAATAGAAGGCCACATTATTTGTGAGTACCATAGATATATTAACCCGAAAAAACGAAACTTTTTCTTGGTAGTCGGATTTGCAAAGTAACGAGAAAAACGGTCGAACGAAAACGTTTCATTCGAACTCCTTAACGATCATATATGATTGGTGTTCAAGTGAAAAGTACGATGGCATATGCCTATAATTTATATTATATAAAAAAAGTCTTTCGTCACGCCTATCTTTCTGTCTGTTCGGACGAGGCTACGAACTACAGCGGTTTTCACCAATATGATTCATGACGAAAATTTTACGGTTCAAGGGTCACGATTGCCCCTGAAGTCGGGGCGGGTTGCTAGTCAGCTCGCTATATAAATAAAGCTACATTACCGCCAACTCATTCACTCATTCATTGATCGGAACTTTTCTGTTTTCCCGGTGTAGAGGAGCAGAGTGAGTGGTGTGTATCGTGACACGAAACTCCCGGGAAAATATGAAACCCTGGGAAACTCGAACTGGTCCTGGGAAACTCGTGAACCTCCCAGGGATCTCGGAAAAGAAGACCGTCCCAGGGGTGTAGTTGAGTGGGTTTTTTGATATTTTGTAGAGAGCAGTGAGAAGTTGATAGGGGATATGAAGTTTTGACTCCATCTTACCCCTGGCGCCCCCCAGCCGCATAAAACTGATTTTAGTAGGTTGCCCCAAGAGTCGAGAGAAATCAATAGTTCAACTATATAGAGGACCCCCAAGAATGGAGATTCCTTTGGTCCATCATCAGATCGACTCTAACAGCCCTCGAAAGCGGTGATACTTAGGTGGGCCGTAATGTTATTCAGGGGTGAGCAGTTAATGATGCGACCCTTTCTACCCCGATATTAAGAAATAGTGACTTTGGACTGCGTTGTACGAAAAGATTTTAAATTTTCTACTTCGGATGTTACTATTTTGTTAAAAGTGGCAAAAAAATTGGGGAAAGGAAAATCAGGTCTGACTAAAAAATGTCAACGGCCTGTGACGTTTAGGTGGGAGGTGTTATATAGGTATAAAGATGGATACATAATAATATATACAAAAAGGTTCAAACTATAGAAAGGAAAACATCAATGAGAATTATTAAATACACTTAACTAAGTAATACCTCATTCGGCTGTATTGTGTGATGGTGTGAAAGTGAAGGTGTACGTGAGGGTGTGTATGTGGAGTGTGCTCTCAGGTTTTTAGCGCTATGGATGTTCTTACTCCTTTTAAGCATATTCCGCGATAGCTTTAACATGTCGACGCTTAAATAGTGCTCGTTGTATGTCCGGGCTGCGTGATACGCAACTGAGTTTTTTTTTTTTTTGTGTTGATGTGAGCACCGTGAAACAAAGCATAATTAGTAGCTAGTAGGCAGGAAAATGAAAAAACAATTAATTTTATCTGAGATGTTGTCGCGTCTTCATACGTATTAAACTTATTGTAGGTCTTAAAGGATATTTCATAAATTCGTTTTGAATCATTTCAATTTATTATTTGTGTACTGTGTGATTTAATAACCAAACCGAGCAACCATATTCAAGAACCTCTATAGAAATGTTAGAATAGCACTCACATATTATAGAATTCTGGAAATGTTCACTGTCACCACTCTACAAAGCTCTGCTTTGTCAACTTTGATGTCAATAAGTTTTGTAACTTTAATTAGGTAAAAAAAGTAAGCCACCCGCCGACTGTGCCGATCTCATTTTACTTTTTGGTCGTGTACATCAGTTTTAAAGAATTTATCAAAAATTTATAAAAAAAATCCAGAATATACTTCACCCGTGTTTATTTTCACGACTAAATTAATTATGCAGACTATGACAATTAAATTTCATTTAACAAACTGAACAGCCTTAGAACGTAAATTTCCTTAGCTATCCGTTTTTTTTACAAACTTTAAATGTAAGTAGTGTAGGTATAATAATTATTATATTTATCGTTTTTAAGACCTTGTAATTTATCGAGATCCCAGTGAAAGTACGCAATGTATTGGCACTAATAATTTTTATCCAAACTTAAGTTTTTATTTGTATTTAATTATTTTCTTTTTGTTACTTATTTAGCAGTGTTGGCCTAGTGGCGTCAGTGTGTAAAGTCGCTGAGGTTATAGGATCAAATCCCGGCTGTGCACCAATAGCCTTTCAGTCTACGTGTGCATTTAACACTCGCTCATACGGCGAAGGAAAACATCGTAAGGAAACCGTAAACCCAAATAGTCAACGGCGTGTGTCAGGCACTATCTGTTTCAAGAACCTATTATAAAAAAACAAATGATCATGAAACATAAATTTAAGGCCCAGACCTTTTAAGTTTATAGCGCCTATGTTTTTTTAGAAGCATTAGCTGACTCCTTAATCGCCAGGAGGCTTGCTAGTGCTTAGCCAAAACATAAATTAAACACATTCCTGACATGATCTGTTACGTAAAGCGAGATTCATTACACCACACAACTCAATGTAGCTTGTGTCTCCAACAACTAATGATCTTAAATAGTCCATAAAATTACTATAATGCCTCAAATAGTATGATTTTCCTAATCACAATTGAATCACTTTGGTATAAATAAACATGACAAACATGTTTCAACTAAATTAGGTTTGTACGTTTATGAAAAGGTGTAAATAGAGCCAAAACGCCTACCTACTCGCATACCTATTTCTATTTAGTAGTTAAAAGCTTAGAAAATCAATTAGAATAATTGTAATTGTAATTTCCTAATTCGCTAATATAGAAAGATTCGATTAAATGTTAAGAAATGCTCAATCATTCCTTTGAACCAGCCAAATAACATTTTTAATTCGATTTATTGACTCTATTGTCACCAATCGAACGGAGACATGTCCGATTTAATTTATTTTTCATTCCACTCAATTTAGTTTTAAAGACCCCACATAATCGAGTTGCAACAATCAACAAGCCATAAATCAAAATAATAGTGTACTCAAAACAATTACGCCCTCAAACGCTTGAATGGAAGAGGCGTACCCGTAACATGAAACATTAAGGGTGTGAAAGTCGTTATTAAAAGGAAATGGAAAATGCTGTTTTCCGGAACACTTGCGGTTTTGAATTCTAAATTTAAAAATATTTATTCGTGCATTTGACATTATAGGATATGAGAAATACAAAGTAAGGGTTAATACCTAAGGAATCTATACTTAGTAAATGACTGTTTACAATTCGTACTGTTACAATAAGTATAAATCAAGTTATATTTAAACTTTCGCACATTGCATCCATTTATCAAAAACATCCGAACAGAACTGAGCAATCATATGATGTTATTTGTAACTTCAATTGTTTGTTTCGCATATTATTTGCATATGGCTGTATTAGTTGCGGGCTAAATGAATTCCAAAGTTGCATAACAATTGCAATAGGAGGCTTGTTAAAACTACTATTATTATTCATTACTGTAAAGTAAGTGAATAAAATAGAGAACGATACACCACTTTCAAAGTAAAAAAGTATAAAATGTTAGATAGAAATTTCTGGTTAGAACTAAGTATCCTTCTTTAAGTGTCTTAAAAATGGTTACATATATCTTTACGTATGTCAATGCCGCGTTATATACAGTCTTTTAAACAGAAGTTTTCATAGTTCTACTCATAGATAACATGACATGGATAGATATGAGGTTTATCGAATGTTCATTATGCCTAATCGATGTATCCTTTTAATTTTACACATACATTTTGTTTTTACACTTCATGTAACAGACACACAAGTGTCTATTTTCAATAATTGACTTCCAAAAATCGAAAAAGGAGGTGTAATTCACGTGTGTATTTTATTAGTATTTTAATAACTACCCTAATGTTGATTAAGCAAGCCTATAACTCCGATATTCTATAAAAAGGCACCCAGTGCCGTTGCATTTGACCGATATCCAGGGAATCAAACACAAGGTGTTTTTATTGAACTAGTGAACTAAGCAAACGTCATATTGTATTGACAATTTTCTGATTCAAAGCACGACACGCAACGGTAAGCCAATTAAACGACTCAAAATGTAATAAACCGTTCATTAAGCGCGATGCGAATACAAATAATTTAATGTAAAATGTATCAGCACGTAGTTCATTAGTAGGTTACATTCGACCCATGTTTGTAGCGTTATCGGTAGCTTAGAAGGGGAAGTATAAAAGTGTGAATCTGTTAAAGTAGGTTTTACATATTTGACTTTATGCATTTGAATGAATCAATTGTTTGGATAAAAAAAAATCTTTTAATTAAAACCTTTTTGGCTTTCAAATTATTATAAACAATTGACAGTTGCCGAAGGCTTATCATGAAAAAAGGTTAACAACATGAAGCTATATACATCTATTAAGGTTTATTTCTTTGAGTGCTTTAAATAAAAAAATATAACTCTGTGAGTTCTGGCGTTCTGCAGATATAAATTTGCCGAGAGTCAATAAGCTTAAACGAAGCAAGCTAAATACAAAGACGATAAGTGATAGTAATAATAAAGTTTATTTTAAGTAACTAAGTAATATAGAAAGTTATCTATGCTTACTTTAGAATAAGATGCTGTAAGTAATTTGCCTGCTAAGATTTCTTACACTGGTCATTGAACCATTCTGCAAGTTATAAAATTTTATTGGTATTACATAATTCAATGCAATTAGACTGACTGAATGCAACTGTGAGAATTTCTTTTTACAATGCGGGTTCAATAATTTTGTAATAATAAATAATATATTTATATTTTAACTACGGCAATAATATCACTATAATATATCAAAGTTCTCTTTTAGTTTTTAAGTTAACACACACTCCGCGCACACGGCGCAGCGACCCAAAATGAGCGTAGGCCCCCGAAACTAGAAACCGTCACCAACATTATACGTTAAATTATGAATATGGCTTTTAATTAGACATATTGTATGTAATATTAGTTGACTAGAATCAAATATGCGCACGTTAAAATGTAAGCTAATTTTGCATTAAAATCAATCTAGCCAAATCTAGATTCTAAATGGACACAGATGTTGTTACAGTGCGGTTGTGTTGTCAATTTTAATTTATAATAATTGACATACAGTAATTGGACCGTACTGCGTTTTGAAACTTGATATATTCAATAGCACTTTAAATTAAGAACTGACTCACTTTTATTATTAGTTGGTCCCAAAGTTCTGTCACTAGCACATTATTTCTACATTTCGAGCAGGATTTTATAAAAAAATATTGCATTCTATTTTGAATGTTTGATTATTGTTTTAAAACAAAAACAATAACTTTCCGTAATTTTCACGATGGAGTGGACATTGAAAGTAAACCGAATAGTTGTTATTGCGTTGCACCGCTTGGACACTCGCCGAGTACCATTTTCAAGTTGCTCAAAAATTTGAATATAACGCTTAGGTTTGTGTACGGTACTATTGATAGGTACCTTGAAGTCTCAGTGTTGAGGACAAGAAAAAACTGGCTGGCCACTCGCAAAAACCAGAGTAATCAAACTATAAGCGGATAGTAAGAAATCCTGTCCGAAAACAGAAGTTGATGGATTTGCAGATGGGTGTCAGTAGGAAAACAGTAAAAGGTTTTAAATTAAGATCTTGGTCTACGAGCATACAAAAAAGAGTGGGCACTTACTTAATGCTCGTCTAAAAGCAATAAGGCTT